TTAACACTTATTTACTGGAACCGAGGGAAACAGTATGTTTTGTGGTCCCGAGACCGCTGATGTTTCCCGAAGCGAAGCTGAGGGAAACATCAGCGGTCGAGGGACCGCAAAACATACTGTTTCCCGAGGTTTCCAGTAAATAAGTGCTTTATTATCATATCAAGTGTCAAAGAGAGCAAAAAACGTAAATAAATGAAGTGTTTTTATTAAAGATTTTGATAAAATGACTGAAAAATGGCAATACAAATAGTCAAATGTCACTAAAATCAATCAATGTAATAACACAATGAATACAATAACTATTTGTAGACGAAATTAAATGTTTCAAAACAATTTTGGAATTCACCGTCCGTAAATGTGGCATTTTCACGACACTGAAGATTGTTTTTCTGCGACTTTGTACTTATTGACGGTCCACAACATATTATTGACCGCTGGTGGACAGTTGCCGGGAAACAGTAAAATTTTGTGACTTTCACGTGGTACACTCTCGACCAATAAGATACTAGGAAAAGTGAACTTTGACACTTGATATATAATAATAGTGTCTATTTATTCACTAATAGTAGATATTACTGAACCAGAACAATTCATGAAAACAAAAGGCAATACACAAGAGACTTGACAACTGCCATCTTTATTTCATTTACAATCAAGACAAAAGACACATCAAAAGCTAAAATAACCACACAGTACGCAAGGGAACGCGTTTCAGGAATCTTTATTTATTTGCGCTGCTGTGGAATCAAGACACAAGACAATCTAAAGCTAAAATAACCACAAAAGACGCAATAAAACGCGTTTGGAGTCTTTATTTTCTGCGCCGCAGCAAAATTATGACAGAAGACATTTTAAGGCTAAATTGAAAATACTGTAACAATAGCAAACCCAGTACGCAAATGAACGTGTTTTCTAACGAGTTTATTATAAGAGTCTAAACTAAAAATCAAGACAAGACGCACTGAAATTAACCGCGAAAATCTATAAAAGCAACGTGGTTTCGAACGAATTCTATCGCTCAAAGCTGAGTTATTTGACTAGTCAATATAATTAAGCGACTTGACAACAACCAGCGGCGACGTTTTAAACTTATCATTTGCTTGAAGCTCAAAATAAAACAGAAGGAATTTTATTAATCATTTCTGGAATGTTTGTGAGATACGTACCTTTCTAGCATGGGACAATAGTTACCAAATCATTATTTCCAGAAGCACTCGTAACAGTTATAAAGTTAGTTACTATAGCTATATCTATTTCACTTTCACCCTATAATCAATAATAGGGAAATTCTTTTTATGTCCTGTCAATGAACTCGATTTCCATGAAGCCTATATTTAACACAAGTTCTAGCCCTTCCCGACATCTTTCCTCTGGGTTTAACAAAGAACTAAACTAGCTCTTTGTTTCTTTCCTTGTGGGTGGGACAT